CCTGGCGGATGAGGAGACTGAAGAGGGAGTTATGTCCTTGATCACCTTGGCACGTGGGTTGAAGAAGGAGCAGGACTTGATGAGAGTGCATCGAGCAGCAGTCCACCGCCACAGTGTTCAAACAATTGCTGCTGAGTGTGAGTGGCAGAAGTCAAAGCAGTCCTCAATCGACACAGCATGGTCAGATCACCAGGTGGAGAGTAGTTAATTTCAACAAATATGTGTTGTCTTTCAAGTCTAGATCCTTAGCCCCAATAAGTATATTTTGAAGTGAGCTTCCTCAAGCAGCCTGGAAGGTCTATTTTCAAGTGGGTGTTGCCAAGACTTGCAATGCTGCTGAGTCTTTTGAGCAAACTGCTCACCGTCTTGTGGCTGGCCGCTTGCTCAAAGAGACACATCAGGCACTTGGGTTCGAAAAGACAAGTTTACTAATTAATTCAGCATAGTCCACATGTGTTCTGTGTTGCAGGTCCCAGTCCTTGGAGTCCTCAACATTCCGATGCTTGGGAATGCAGCCAGTTCAGTCATCAAGCAAGTCACAAGCAAGCTCGCAGTCGAACTGTCTCACAGTCCCAACACGCTGATGTATGTCATTGTCCCCCCGAACCAGCCGGTGCATGGAGTTGGAAGAGTCAGCAAGAGTGAGCGCGAGCAGAAGGTTCTGGCCCACCAGCAGATGTGGAAATATGAACTGGAAACTGTAGAGAATGCAGTGATCCTGAAAGCACAGGCCTTGTTCGATGTCGACAGCATGTACAGTGATGAACGTGACTTGGGCATTGAGCTGTGGCTGATGCTGCCGCAGGCAAGTGTTCCAGAGGGGGCAGAGGATGCGACTCCAGTCCTACAGTCCCCTTCCTCGCAGTCTACTACAGTCTCGCAGTCCTTGCAGTCCATTCAGTCCAAGAATGTGTTTGCAACCTCTGTGCTTGTGAAGAGGAAGGCAATCCCAGGGTTGGTGCATTGCATGGAACGTTCAAAGATGCAGAACTTCAGCAAGGACCTCTCATTTGCACAAGCTGGGTCGACCAATGGAGATATGGACTTGGAGCGAGTCTTGACTTCCACATAGTGGTGGCTGCTGTGTGGGGTTGATGAGTGTGTTTGTGTGTGTGTGTGTGTGTGCATCTAAGGCAAGCAATGGTTTTCAGGCAAAAGTTTTCTCATGGACCTTGTTATGGCAGCTGTGAAGGGCACCAAGATGAACCGAACACACACTGTGATTGTCAAGGATGTTGCACCCTATGATGCAGAGTTGGCTGTGACTTGTGCCAGTCTCAATGCAGTCACCCCCAGGTCCTGGCCTGATTTCGCCTATGTTGCTTCATCATGGGTTGGCAACCAGGGATTCAAGGAGCAGGTGGCAACCAACATTGAGTCAGTCATTGCAGAGCATGTCAAGGGTGCCATTGGACGTGGTGAGTACCCTTTGGCCAAGCTTCCAGATGGCATGATACAGGCCCCAGTCCCACAGTCGAGCAGTCCGACCCTGAACCTTTCAGAGTTCAAGTTGACTTTGCCATCCCCGAACAATGAGCTTCTGCTTCTGATCGACACAGTTGCCAGAGGGAAGCGTTGCAACAAAGTGACTCTGCCTGAGACAGAGGTATGGAAGGGACTGTCGTGGCCTGACATTCTGAAGAAGCACAATGATGAGTTCAACCCTTCAGGGACTATCCGTGCGAAGCGTGATGCAGATGTTTCTGTCCAGGAGTTTCTTAGATGGCATTCTGATTTGTCACATAGTTTTTCCTGGGGCTTAGTCTTTTTTGTAAACATTCAAAATAGATATGTTGATTTGTAGATCTCCAAGGTTGGACACCTCGAGCCGGGCATCATCGACACTGTCGTCAGTCCTACAGTCCATCAGTCCAGACATGGGCAGGTGCCAGCCGCCTGGCATCACAGCATATCAGTTTGCTGTGTCCAAGGATGGAAAGCTCTATGTCAAGGGCCTGACAGACTCGAACCTGGAGGGCCAAATGTTTGTGGTCCATGGCAGGTTCAAGCGAGGAGATGAAGCCAAATCTTTGCTGAGTGAAGGCTCTGATTCAATCATTGCCTACAGTCTCACAGCAGAGTCGGCAGTCTTGCTCAAGGCCAAGAATGGCAGCACATTGCCAGCAGCGCTCCAGAAGTATGCAGAGAAGCCGGCTGCCTTGGGGGGGATCCTCAATGCCATGTCAATGGCAGGATTGCCAAAAGTGGGGTTGTACCTCCACAGTTGTGAAAGTGAGACTACGGGGACAGATGTTGTGTGGACAGTCAAGGCCTTGGAACCGGCATGCCTCAAATGTACAATTGAAGAGCCAGGCGAGGATAGCAGCAGTCCCTTCCCGCCGCAGGAGATCTCTTTTGCAAAGCTGTCCAGTTATGTGGTACTGTCCCAGCTTACTCAGGTCCAGATTTGCTTTGCCCTTGAGTATGATGACCAGGCCAACAAGCTGAAGGGCATGTACCCCAGTGTTTGTATGAAAGATACAGTCAAGCTTCCAAAGGATGTCATTGCACTGATGTAGATGCAAGATCCAGACAGTCCTACAGTCCTACAGTCCTACAGTCCTACAGTCACCAGTCATATGAATCATTATTGCTGTTGGTCTGTTAGACTGTGGGCCTGTCTGCACACGTAGAGCTTGTAGGTGCAGCTGCAGTTGAGTCCCGACAAATAGTCGTTCCTCGACTGATTTTGCCAGCTCAGTTTTGTCAGCTCGGCTAACACAGCCAGACAGAGATGTGGCGCATCGGAGAAAACTGACTCTTGCACTGACTGTCAGTTGTAGCTGCACTGTCAGTGCCACAGTCTTGCAGCCCACTGAGCTGCAAGCTCATGTTTACTTTTAAAAGATTTAGGGTGTAGAGTTATTAGAATTTAAGGGTTGGGCCCTGGGGTTCTGGCTCTCGTCTGGTATCGTGGTCGTCGTCGTCGTGTCGTAAAGGACCCCTCTAGCGTTTAAGGGTTTAGGGTTTAGGGTTTAAAGAATTTGGAGACAAGGCTCTGTCGGCCTTTGGTTTGGAGAAGGCTCCTTCAGGAGAGAGGGTTGCAACTACTCTAAAATCTAACCTAACCCTCAGGCCTACAGTCCTACAGTCCTAAAAAGCCTTTCAAGACAAGGCTGTGTCAGCCTCTTTATGAAGCTCCAAAACCCCTAAACCCTCAGTCCTACAGCCCTACAAACCCAAAAACCCAGACTTTCAAGACAAGGCCGTGTCGACCTCCTTTGTTTGATAAGGCTCCAAAAACCCTGAAAAAACCTGATTGCCCAGGTCTGCCTCGTGGAAGATGTCCAAGATGCTGGGCACCAGGGCACAGCGGCTGCTGCAGCGGCACCAGCAGCGCCGATGTAGAGGGGCAGAGTGGGCTTGGAAGGTATGTTTTAAAGAGGCTGGGTGTTCTGGACTTCATATGCAGTTCCACAGTCTCACTGTCGACAGTGTGGACAGTGGGACTGTGGACCTGCACCTGAAGAGACTACATTCTGGACTGGGGGCCTGCCTAACACTGACACCTTATAGGTGTAGAAACTTACCTGGCCCTGAATATATTCCTTCCAGCAGTTTTTTTGGCTTCTGACTTCAGACTATCCCACTGTCTCACAGTCCCTGGCGCAATGGACGGAGATGTACCTTTTGACAGCAAGGTACTCACATACTGTGAGAGGGTGTCCAAGAGACGCAGAGTTCTCAACAATCTCAAGCAGACCGACATGTATCACCTCGCCAAAGCGAATGTGGCCAAAATAGCTGCCAAAGAGAATGATGGCAACATGAACTCGAACAATATGAACTCGAACAACAAGAAGTCTGGACCTGGTCTCCCCAGTCCTCCGATGACACCACGAGATATTGAGGACATGTCAAAGAGAGATTGGGAGAAACAGTTTTTTGTCTTCAAGACCAGACTACGTGAGTATGCCCAGTGCATGCAGGACTGATTACTTCCTTCTGCAGTCTCACAGTCTGGCAGTCCCACAGTCTACAGTCCCAAGATTGAGAACAAGCTGTTGTGTGTTTTGTTTGTGTTGGTTTTGCACTGCCAGACTGACTGCTGAAGAGGAGGTTCACACTTGTGGGCCCAAGGACTTTGAACTGTATTTGGGACCCATGTACAATAGCCACATGCACAGACTGACTGTCTTGTGCAGTGTGCATGGAGTACAGTCAGTCTTGCAGTCCTCTACAGTCCTAGAGAATCAATATGTTGAACCAGACTTTTCAACTGCAAGACTGAAAAACTCCACTGCACAATGACTACAAGTCTCATGAGACAAGATCTCAAAAGTATGACAGTTGTGGTCTGCGTATGTTGCAAGGAGTCTTCGGGCAGTGCAGTCTCACAGTCTCACAGTCCATCTACTACCACAAAATAGCAGACTGGGTAGCCTGTATCATGATAGTTGGACTGCAAGACTGGTAGACTGCACATGGACCTGTACATATTGTACTGTTTCTGCTGCTTTCTGCTCATAGCACACTAGCTTGTCTCCCGGTCCTCAGTTCCACTGCTATTCAGTGCCATGGAGACAGATTCTCAAGAGGAGGGGGTATCTGACAAAATGGCAACACGACTGGCAAAGCGCATACGACTGGTTGAGCAGTTTCAGGCCACAGACGTGTACTTTCGCTCCAAGGTGCTCCTCATGCACTGTGACTCACAGTCGACTCCACCAGGGGACCCACCAGTGACACCGAGGATGGAGTTTTCAAAGAGAAGGTGGGAAAAGATGTGGTATGTCTACAAAACCAGGTCCCGCCTCTATGCAGAGTGGCTGAACTAATTCAGTCTGGCAGGCCTTCAGTCTTACAGTCCACAGTCCTGCATTCCTACAGTCCCACAATCCTACAGCAACAACAGGTTGTGAACTGTGGACTACATGACTGGCTGAAGACTGTTGTTCGAAATTATTTTGCACTGACAGACAACAACCAGGGAAGCCTGATGTGATGAAAAGACCTCTTTTAACAAACAGTCTCATCGTCGTCGTGTCGTAAAGGCCCCCCTCTCGTGTAGGCTCGTAATAATGTAACAAACAGTCACACAGTCCTACAGGCCTTGGGGTTCCAGGTTCCTCGTACAGTCACACAGTCCTACAGGCCTTGGGGTTCCAGGTTCCTCGTACAGTCACACAGTCCTACAGTCCTACAGCCTTGGGGTTCCAGGTTCCTCGTGTCGTCAGTGTAGCCGTCGTTTTCGTCGTCGTCGTCGTGTCGTAAGGCCCCCTCTCGTGTAGGCTCGTAATAATGTAATGTAACAAACAGTCACACAGTCCTACAGGCCTTGTAGTGGGAGATATAGGCCTTGAAGTTCTCAAAGAAAAAACAAGGGATGTTGGTTGCAAAGGCTGGAAGGAATAGCTCATAATCTCTCCAAGTCGGTATCCTAGTTACCCTGGCCTGATATCCTAGTTGTCTTGCCGACTCCTTACTTTTGAATGCCCTCATATATTAAGGGCTGCAGGAATCAGAAGGAAATAAGTCGCGGATCTATTATCTGGTTCCAGAGGGCACCGATGCTCGTCCCCACCAAGGTGTGCTCAGAGCGCCTTTAGTGGCTCCCTATGCGGGCCGGCCGTTGGATCCGCGGCCGCCCACGCCTGGGCCTTTCCAAAGCCCCGCCGACTCCAGCGCAGATCGCTGCTTACCAAGCCAGTCGTGCGGGCGTCCGCCGTGCAAAGGCTAAGGCGACTCCGGATGCTGCTTTTCGAGCCGCTGAGAGACAGCTCATCGATTTGCTCGGTGCAGCTCCGCTCGATGACGATCCCATCGAGGAGCCCTCGCCGCAAAGCGGTGATCCGATCGAGGACTATTGATTTTGTTCGCAGGGAATATCGCTCATCTGATGTGTCCGATCGGATTGATGTTGCGGTCCGTGGTGAATGCCATGGCGCACCCCCCGGCGATCGGGGGTCCGATCGGACTTATGATCGAGTGAAGTTTTGATGATCGGACTTGTCGCCGACTCCCACGTTGCGGTCGCATAAAAAAGGAACCGCCACCTCGTCTGTTCAGCGAGGGTACCGAGCGTTTGCGATCGTAGTAACTGATATATATATATATGTATATATATATATATATACATTTGTATATTCTATGGCCAACCGGCTATAAGGCTATTTGACACTGTAGCAAGAGAAAGTAATTATCGCACTGGAGTAAGAGAAAGTAAGTACACAATAAACTCATGAACAAAGACATTGCTTAAACATGTCAGAATCAAGCTGGTGCAACTGTAAAACCAGAACAAACCCAAACAAGAAGCCAACACAATTACATAAACCAAAAATACCAAAACAAATTAAACCACACACACACAAGAACGAACCAAGCACAAAAGCAACAACAACAACAACAACAACAACAACAACAACAACAACAACAACAACAACAACACCCAAAAACAAACACATCCAGCCCTTTGTTTAGGACATTGTGTGTTTTTTGTTGTTGTTTTTTGTTTTGGTTTGTTCAACGTTATTTCGGTTTGGCTTGGGCGCCTGCTGCTCAGCATTTGTGCTGCTGGTTTGCCGCGCGGAATTGCTCCCCCGCGTCTTCCTGTCTTCTGCAACGCAAACTGCATGCATGTTGCATTGTTTGCTGGAACCTCCAACTTGGAACTAACACAAGCAGTGCACGGCTTCTTAACTACGCTTCTGTAACTCTGTACCGTATATGTATCCATATGTCTAGATACATTCATAAGCAGTATGATGCAGCATATATACGAATCTGGCTTTCTTCATGTATGTGCCCATTTAGTCTTAGATGTGTCCACACATCTCTTGATTATGTTGATAAAGATGCTTCCACATGTGTGCATGTGGGCAATATTGCCGATATTCCTCAAGACAGATAGGCAGGCATATTGCGATATACATAGAGATATATGCAGCAGACATTGGGTATGGTTACATGCAGTGCTACAACTTACGGATGCTCCAATGACAGGTGCTGGTTCTATATAGATATGATGTGTTGTTGTTCTGAATACACCGACGTATTCCACTATTGTTGTCTATATAGAAATTGTATTTCATAATCATAAACACTATATTTTCATGTCCTCAAGTTGTCAGTATGTAATATCTGTACAAGCTTTCGCAGTAAATACACGGCATGTATGTAAGTTTTGCTTTAGTCATGAAAGTTCCCATTCATTACTCACATTTGTGTCCACATGTATCTTGATTGCTCTTACAGGTGTTTCCACGTAGGTACATGTGGGAAGTACTGCCGGTATTCCCACAGATAGATACGCAGGCATATACATATAGAGATACATCTAGCATCATAGAATCAAACAGTCATGTCAACATGTTATGTGGCTACATGTGATTACAATATTTTTCTTATGTTCCTATTAAGGCACTGCATCTACATACATACATATATATATATATGTATACACATATTACGGGTCATTCATGTGTGTGTATGCCGACAGATGCCAGTAGTTTTGACCGCGTAGAAGGAATTCATTACAACACAAGGTTGCATGTATGTGGATGTTAAAAAGGTTTCGCGTGTGCAAACATGGAATGTTCGCCAACGGCAAACAGGGTAAATACATACGTGGGCGTTTTTATACACTTGTTTTATGTTCAAAGCATAAAATGGCGTCATCGTCATTTTATGGCTTCACATGCGAATTTGCTGGTAGTTGCCTATACAGTAAATTGCGGGTTCCATATTTGTAAACGATGGGTGTTCATTGAGTTGTGTGTATACCAGCAGCATGCACTAGTTTTGGCTGCTTGGGAAATCATTTGCCTGCACAACAAAAGACCACATGCATGAACATAGCGAAAGGCCAAAGGCTATCTTGCCGATTGGGGACTGTGGTTGTTATTGTTGCTGCTGTTGTATTACGGGCACATGATGAACAAGACTGTATCCACATGTTTTTAAAGGTAGGACACAGCACATATGCACTACAAACACTGTGCAATAGGAAAAATCAATAAACATAGCAGACCTTGCGATCTTACAACTTTTCCGTTCGCAGCTTCATATGCTGTTCAAATAAAAAGAAGCGTCGAGTTCTGCAGACAAGTTGGGGGGTTTACATATATGTTTATATATACACATTTTTTTACACATACCCATGCACATACATGTGTGTGTGTCTATATATATATATATATCTATATGCTACCCCCCTCATGTACACACGCTTGGTGCTGATCGTCGTCGTGGCCCTACAAACCCTTCCAATCTCCACTATTCCCGGTCATATGCAAGGTACGGTCATATGCAAGGTAAACTAAAGGACTAATATTATCTTCTATGCCAGCACCAAGTGTAGTTTCACTGTTACATTTACCAATGATGCTATGGTTATAGTCACCGTTCTCCTAGTGTGAGTAATACCAACCCAGCAAACCCTGTTTATTTCCCCTTGTCTTATTATGTCTGAATAAAAAGTTTCCTAGGTACACTAGCCCTTTGGCTACTATTCACACCGTTTTATACTAGCCCGACTACGTGTATTCACATTTTGATAAAGTATAAGCCTACGAGCTATTACTTTTCGAATATTCGTGCTTGCACGCTGTGCCAACATACACAAACATCCTCAATAGAATTATGGCTTTTTCTGCTGACATATTTGTTGTTAGAAGCCAGCTGAAAGAGGTGAATTCCGAAGAAAATTCAATATGTTTTGCCTGCGTATTGAACTTTCTACTCCATTCTACTCCTCTTTGGTTAAACTATATCTTTATTGGTACTGATTAGATCAGTTTGTTGTTCTCGGCGTCTTGTATTGATATCAGCTGTAAGCTTTATATGTTTATCCTGCTTTTAGTTAATCTTTAGCCTGTGCATCGTTTGAGTCATGTCCATCCCATCGAGCTGGGGCTTGTCCGTTCTTACAGAGTCGTGTTCAAGTTTCGCACCAAATACATGATGACCACCAAAGACTCCTGTATGTCAGAGTTTTGTGGTGACTGTACTGGGTAGTGCGCTTCACTGTAAGCACCAGTTAAAGACGTTCAAACATGAATAGAGACACCTCCCATGCAAGCATGGAGCAACACACGTTATACATGTACCTTTAGAAAAGTGTAAGGGTAGCCAGTACATTTTCCATATAACAGTAAGTTTCCCTTAGTAAAGTCTTCAGTCGTAGACAAAGTAAACGATACGTATAGTTCCGTACGCGGTAGCGGACGTCTTCAAGCAGAGATTCATACCTAATCTTGTACATCACGAAAGGATTAATCTCATGAACATGTTCGCAAATATGCAGCATCTTATATGCATATGTAGTCACATCGCAAGAGCACATATGTCATATGTGTGCCCAACAGTTGAATCCGGCCCTTCGTCAAACTATCAAACTAGTGGTTAGGCCGATTAAATTTCATCAACATTTTTGCACGAGTCAAAGAGTATTAAGCGTTCTATCAAGGTGAAATTCAATGTTTCTGGTTGTACGCTGCCGCTGGAATGGAATTGATGTGCTAGTCTACATGTTTAAACAGTAAAACAGAAGTGACGGGATTTATCACGACAGTTGTATGATAAGGGAAATGTTGCCTGAAAGAGTCACCTGACAAAGCTGTACCCGTGTTCAGTTTCTGCAATGACCGCGCGATTTCTGTGTATCTACAGAGCACAAAACTACGACTATCCACAGAACAACGACAGGCTCGAAATACAAAATGCAACGGTCAAACCGCATCTTTCTGTATGCGAAGGTATTCAAAATGTTCTGTTGAATATGCCTCGAGGTGCCAAGGAGAACTTTGCCCTGCACCTTGAATATCGAATCTTGGATCCGACGCGTATTCAACAGAATACGTGTTGAATACGATTGAATCAGTGCTATCTTGGTCCTCGGCGAGAGTTTTGTACTGAAAGGTAAGGAAGAAACATACGATCTACAGGCACTCCCCCGATCCCATTAACCCACGCCGTTCTGCAGCTGAGATTTCGGAGAAAGGCATGGGAACAAGGCCATCCCAAGAACCCATCCCTTCCCAGAGCCGAGATTGAGAAGACAGGCGTGGGTACATGGGGTGGGTGGGTACCATATATATATATATATATATATACACACATACATACATACATGTACGTACATCTATTGTCATGTTTTCATGTGGTTGCGCCCTTCCAGCCCTCCCAGCCTCCAGAGTTTCCAGGCCTTTAGCCACCCACACCTATCCATGTTTCATTCCATCCGTGCATCGATCCATCCATCCATGCCTCCCTGCATGCACGTATGGAGTGTCCGGCCATTCGAAGTTTCCGAATGCTTCAGCAATTTGTCACGACTTTCAATCCTTTCCGGAGATCTTTATGAAACCTCCAGCGTGTTGGAATTGGAGGCGGCTGCCCAACTCGGGAGATCGAGACAGAGGCGACTTTCGATGAGTGCAAAGAGAAGGGAATGATGTTCTGCAGTTGGAGTGTTGAGTTTAGCTAAACATACAGTAACTAGCTTCTGGGCGAACACGTTGTTCTTGGAGCCGTAAGACACTTCTGCATCAACCCTCAGTCATATGAAACCCACCGTCAAAGGTCAGCACTGCAAGGCTCACAAGCCATCGAGCCGAAATTCTCCAAATACCACTGAGACGTGAGCATCTGTCGGAAGTCTGCACCCTTCCTAGTGCTCGAGTTCCAACCAGGTTGTCCAACGCTTTGAGCTTGATTCGCAGTTTGTGGGTGTGTGTGTGTGTGTGTGTGCCTGCACGTGCTTGTCAGAGTCTGTCTGCGGGCGGGCAGATGTCGTAGCTCGCGCTGCGACGGGTGTCGGGCCCGTTTATGCCATGGCTGGTGAGACGACTGGAGCATCTTCCTCAGGTGTAAACAAATCATCGAAGGCCAATCCAAACTAGAGGCTCCCTGCTGTTGAAAATTCCAAGAATGCAAAGACATCACGATAATTTGCACTGCGAGCATTCAAATTGGGCAACTTCTGGCTTGATCCTGGAAGGTGGGCTTCGGCGTTACTTGCTCTGCCGCTGCGCGCCCAAAGGCACAATTTGCTTGTTACATCCAAGAATCCAAAGGGTCGAGGCTGTAACAACTTCGATGTCTGACTTTTCATTCCCGCAAATACAACTCAACAATCCCCGACCCTAGAATGGTCCGATAAGGCCGATAAAGAGCTAGAAATTCTCATCTCCGAGTAGTTGTGTTTAGACCGGGTCTTGGATCCGATCCGGATGGTTTACGTAGACTCGCTCGTGTCCACAACAGAGTAGGATTTATAGCCAAAGCCGACGCAATCAGCATTTAGCTCGACTGAGCGGACATGAATGCAACATCGCGTAGAAAGCTGCCAATTTGACTTTCCGTGTCGCTGTTAAGAAAAATATTTTGTTGCATCAAGAAGAGGAACCTATTTTTGTTGGGCCCTTTTTTTTTTTGGGGGGGGGGCCTCTTTTTTTTTTGCCCCCGCGTCCTGTTATTTACACTGGAAGGAAGAAAGCAAGGAAACAAGGAAGGAGGAAGGAAGGAAGAAAGAAGAAGGGAGAGAAGGAAGGAAGTAAGGAAGGAAGAAAGCAAGGAGACAAGGAAGGAAGGAAGGAAGGAAGGAAAGGAAGCAAGGAAGAAGGACCGAAGGAAGAAAGGAACGAAACAAAGCAAGGAGGGAGGAAAGGAAGGAAGGAAGGAAGCACGGAAGGAAAGAATAAAGGAAGAAAGGAAGGACGGTACTATGTCAGTATAAAAAGTAAATATGGTATATATATATATATATATATATATATGTAGTATACATAGCACACGTAGTATATATAGTATATATAGTATGTATACTATATACAGTATATATATAGTGTATATAGTATATATAATAGCTAGAGTAAATAAATAAATATATATATATAGAGAGAGAGAGTATATGTAGTATATATAGTGTATATATATACATATATATAGAGTATATACTATATATAGTATATATAGTATATATAGTATATATCGTATATGTAGCATATATAGTATATATATATAGTATATATAGTATATACATAGTATATATAGGTATATATCGTATATATATATATATATATATAGTATATATAGTATATATAGTATATATAGTATATATGACCCCGGTTCGGCCGGCCCCCCCTCCCCCCCCCAATGGTTCCTCCTCCCCCCCTGTGGTGTGATGTGGTTGTGGGTTGCTTCCCCCTCCCTGTGGTGTGGTGTGGTGTGGTGTGGTGTGGCCACCCTGTGGTGTGGTGTGGTTTGGGTTTCCTGCGTGGGTCTGCTTGGCGTGTGAGCCCTCGTGTGGAAAAAGCTTGCACAGTCACACACAGATTCGGCTTGGGGAGCGTGGGGGGGGATACCATTGGGGGGGTGGGGGGGTCGGTGAACCGAGAACCGGGATCATATATAGTATATATAGTATATATAGTATATATAGTATATATAGTATATATAGTATATATAGTATATATAGTATATATAGTATATATAGTATATACAGTATATATAGTATATATAGTTTTTATAGTATATATAGTAAATTTAGTATATATAGTAAATATAGTAGTATATATAGTAAATATAGTATATATAGTATATATATAGTATAAATAGTATATATATATATAGTATATATAGTATATACAGTATATACAGTATATATAGTATATATAGTATACATATATATATATAGTATATCTAGTATATATAGTATATAAAGTACATACAGTATATGTAGTATATATCGTATATATCGTATATATCGTATATATATATATATATATCTATATCTATATCTTATATATATATATAGAGAGAGAGAGAGTACAAAGGTATATATATATATATATGGAAGGCCTATTATGTTGGATCTTGTTTTTTTGTATTTTTTGTTTGGTGCTTTTCCTTGGGTTTCCTGGGGAAACACCATTTTCCTTACGTTTTGGACGGATCTGGTGTGTTTTTTTTTGTTTTTTCCACTGGAAGCGAAAAGAACCCAGGAAGAAAGAAAGAAACACCCCAGAACAAGGACCAAAGCAAGGAAGAAGAACAGAACAAAAGAAAAGAACGACGGAAGACAGACGGTTTGAAACCCAGGTCCAACCGCCGGTTCTCTAGAGCCGCGAAGAAATGAACAAAAACGGATTGGCCAACACACAAGAAGGAGAAAGCCAGACAACAACGCTTCAGGGTGGTTTAACGTGAAGTAAACACAGTCAATCGTGAAGGATTTAAAAGGTTTGCCCCTCCCTGTCTTTTATAGACTTAAACTCCCCGCTCACTAAAGCTGCGAAGAGATGCACAAAAGCATATTCGCCAACACACGAGAAGGGGAAAGCCAGACAACGCTTAAGAGGGTTTGACGCGAAGAAAACACAATCAATCGTGAAGGATTTATAAGGTTTGCAAATGGGGGGGCTGCACCCCCCCAACCCCCCGCTTGTTTTTAGACTAAACTCCCCGCAAAAGCAGCAAAGACAAAACAGCACTAACTACAGCCACAACCACAACGACAACAACAACAGCAAGGTAGTGTAAGATTTCCTGACGGGAACCAAGCAAAATCACACCAAATCCGTCCAAGATGCAAGCAATATAGTTTCTCTTGGGCAAAGCCAAGCAAAAGAAGCAAAGTCCAAAATGAGTCCAAAATGTACGGCAAACGGTTTATTCCCTAGAACTAAGGTTACGTATTCTTCGCTCAACGTATTGTAGGTTTTTCTGAAGAAAACCAAAGACAATCACACGAAGTCCCTCCACGATGGTAAAAAAAGGCGTTGTCCCGAGGAAAACCTAAGATAATGTACGTTTCACGCGAGTTAATGTAGGTTTTCCCGCGGAAATCCAAGGAGAATCGCACCAAATCCGTCCAACATGTAAGAAAAGCAGTGTTTTCGCTACGGAAAAATTAAGGAAATGAATATGTTTTATTAAAACAAACCAAGGAAAATCTCACTAAATTCGTCCAAAACTCAAGGAAAATAGTGTTTTTCCTGGGAAAACCCAAGGAAAAGCATCAAAAAAAAAGATAGGGTCCCTCCAGAAAAAAGGCAAAAAAAATCTCCACCCTCAAGAAGCCTCACTACCTCATCTCAACAGTCCCTCCATGTGAAGCTCTAAAGTTCTCGGGAGGCATTATGCAGCCTCAAGCCCCGAGCACAATCCTCTGTTGTCAGGGAGTGACGCGCACAGGCCAAGCGGTACTGGCAGACTGGAGGTGTTGTTCATATCAAGTTCCAAAGTTGGAATTCAATAGCAGGGATTTCGGCATGTAGGGCCGCAAGGCCTTCTGTTGAGGATTCTTTTCAGTTCGAGGTGATGTCTTGACAAGAATTGGATGATGAGGACCAGTATCGGCGAAAGACAGTATTCGGCCTTGTTCGCGGATTTTGAGAAGGCTTGTGTCGAACTGACTTTCCATAGCCAGTTAACATTGAGCTTCAGTTTAGTTAAGAGATATCGACCCCTAAGCACCAAGTAATGGCGTAGTAAAACACAGCTTCTAGTGTGTCTTAGGTCTTGCGCAGGTAGGCTGCAGAACACATGTTTCACTTTAGTTACAACGAACGTTTGGCTCAAGACATGACTAGTAAAAAGAGAGCGTCTACTTGCGTGATCTGCGGTAGGCCTCGTGAGGGTTGTGTCTTGTTGAGTTTAACTGGTTCTCAGCCGTAGGTTAGGAGACCTACCGCAGTGCCTAAGGTAAGCCCAGCGCCCAGTAGCCCAGGAGGGGCTGCTAAGGGCAAAGGTTATCGTCTGAGTGCGCCCGTAGAAGGGGCTGCCTCAGTGCATGGCCGGGAACCCTCGAGGGGACCGAGGCGGCGAGAGGAAGAGAAGACAGCAGTTCCACACTTGCCAAGACTTTCTGCATCACAGAGACAAGGCGACTTTTCGGATTCACGCTTCCCAGGGAAGACTTCCGCAACCTCGACCAAGGAGTGCACAACAGGCACATCGACGGCATCTTCGACGTGTACAATTCGTACGGAGCTGATTGGGCCGACTTTGTGCAGAGGTTCCTGCTTTGGCAGTGGCCTCTTCAGTCTCAGCTGCGGCTGCTTCCTCGGCTGCGGCTGCCTCTTCGGCTGTGGGTTCAGCCGCCGCCTCGGTCGCCGTCTCCGCCGCTACCACTCGACGAAGATGCCTCTGCACTCGGTGCGCCTCCAGTGGAGTCGCCTCAGTCCTGGCCGGTGTTCCAGGAGTGTTCTGCGACGGAGCCTTGGCTGGTGCAGTGGGCTGTGGCCTTGCACCTGGATTGGCAACCTTTGGCGCGGCTGGGTCCGGGCGCTTGCTGCTGCCCCTTGCCCTTGCCTTTTGCCGGCTCTTTGCCCTTTCCTTTGCTTTTGCCTCCGCCTTTGTGGCCTCCTTGTCGCGAGAGGACGACGGGGCAGTCGTGGAAGGCCGCGACCAAGGCGACACAGGATCCGAACCTTTGGAGGAGCCTGCTGTTGCCGAGGTCGAGGGTGACATCAAGGAGGAAGCGCCCGACGCCGTTGACCCAGGAACCGCTGAGGAACCTGGTGTCAGCGACGTCGCGGCCGGCGAAGGAGACGGGGCTGTCCGCGAAGGCGTCGTTTGCGAAGCTGAAGGCGAAGAGGAGGAGCCGAGGATCCAGTTCCGATCGAGGTCGACGAGGAGGGTGTACATAGCTCGCCACAAGAGGTAGTTACTGTACATAGACCGGCGTCGCCAGATCTTTCGGAGCGAGCCTTGTCAGAGCCACCCGAGCGCCCAGTGCCTCAGGGGCGGCTCCACGTAAGGCCTAGGATTCTTAAGCCCCCTAGCGACCTTCTTCCCGGTACTACCCTACTGTCACATTAGACCGTCAGGGCATTTGGATCCTTGTCAGTCGGCGATCACGACTGGTGTCCGTGATGCCGAGATCCTGCCACCAGCCGCGCCCAGCACCACAGAAGAGGCCTTTTTGGGGGCACAATTAGGGGTTTCGGGTCGTCTAAGAGTACAAAACTAAGGGCTGAGCCTTCCCTTGAGGCACCTGCTCCTCAGCAAGTTCCTGGTGGCTGGGCTCCTCAGCCACACTACTCTCAGGCCTTTTCGGGGTGGTCTAAGGGGGAGAATTAGGGGTTTTCGGGTCGTCTAAGAGTAACTAATTACCAAACTAAGGGGTTTATGCCTCTGAGCCTTCCCTCGAGGCACCTGCTCCTCAGCAGGCTCCTGGCGGCTGGGCGCCTCAGGCACAGTACCCTCAAGCCTTTTTGGGGTGGTTTAAGAGGGACAATTAAGTAAGGGTTTTCGGAACGTCTAAGAGTACAAAACTTAAGGGTTTATGCCTCTGAGCCTTCCCTTGAGACACCTGTTCCTCAGCCAGTTGCACATCAGCCGGCTCCTGCTCCTCAGCCAGCTGCACATCAGCCGGCTCCTGCTCCTCAGCATGATGGTCCTGAGGCCTCTCTTAAAGGGTTTAATTACATAATTAATTAATTAGGTTTCAGGATTCTTTGTAACTAAGGTGGATTAACGGATTAACGGCCTAAAACATACGGGTTTGTGCCTCTAGAGCCCTTCCTGGAGGCAAAAGAGCTTCAGTGCGAGCAATCCTTAGTGGTCCACGCCACAAGGATTCTGCCTGGCTGGAAGGAGGCAGTCCTCAATTGGGAGGCTAACGTGCATCGGGCCACTAAGACGGTCGTTCAGATGCCTGACCTGATGGACGTGCACTTTGTCACAAAGACCTGAGCCACGATCTAAAAGTCATTGAGGATCTCAGGGAGGAGTTTAGGCAGGTCATCTCAGAGCTCACCTCGGCTCATGAAGACTTTCTGGAGCTCGAGAACTCCCTGAGACGTGGTGTCAACACAGTGATGGCTGAGATCCTAAACCTGAGGGCCAAATGCCTTGATGCGGTTCCTGAGGCTCGTGTGCCTGAGGCTCGCCAGCAGGCCCCTGATGAGATTCTGTCAAGGATGAGTCCTGAGGAGAAAGAGGCCCTCAGGAGGCATTTTCAGCAAAACAAGGGGCCCTTGGCCAGCCAGCTAGTTAAGGCAATCCTCAGGCTCTTTAATGCCCTGAGTGCCCGGAATTTCAGAAGCCTGAGGTTTCATTCTTAGGCTGAGACTGGATCTTCTAAGAGGGTCCTGAGATGGTCCCTCAGCACAGACCGTGCATTTGTAGAGTCCTGAGTCTAAAAATAGCTGAGTGCAGTCGTGTTTGGCATGAGTGCAGCGGTTTCTGTGTCCTGAGTGCAGCCCTGCCTTCCTGAGTGCACGCCGGCTTGCTTGAGCTGAGGATGTTTTTGTGTGCAGTGAAGCCTGAGGCCCAAGGTGAGATTGCTCGGCCCTTCCTGATCTCCTGAGGGTTAATTATCCTGAGAACATGGCGACAGATTTGGCTTTGCTCAATTACCTGAGGGTGGGCACTCAGCTTGAGGAACCCCTCAGCTTTGATCACATTCACGGTGAGAAGAAGATCTATTGCCCTCGTTGTGGGCCCTCAGTCAACATCTACCTCAGCAGGCTCCCTTGGCAGACCAGGTGCATCAGGTGCAAATCCTCCTGGCCAGCTAAGGTTGTCGCTGAGTATTGCCAGATGTGACAAGGGGCGACTTAGTGCCGGTGGGTCAACCTCAGGCACACCTCAGCCTGAGCCACGTGGTCCTGCTTGAAGGGGAGGAAGCTGGGGAGGAAGCTGGCCTCAGCAACCTCAGAGACCATGGCCTCAGCAAGGCTGGACTCAGGCCGGCTATGCACGTCCTCCTCCGGCACCGGTGGCTGAGGAACCTATGGAACCTGAGCACGGGCACCTTGCAAACCTTAGGACCCTTAGGACCCTGAAGAATCCCAAAGTTTTGATATCTACTTCCCTTAGTTAATTACAAAGCGCCAAAACCTAAACTTGTCTGCAGGCGCCTGACCACGATGTGGACGAGGCCACTGAGGCCGACTCTGAGGACACCTTGCCTGATGAGAGCCTCCTTGACAAGGTGGAACGCCTGAGGGATCGCTGGCACGACCAGGTCTCAGTGCAACAAAAGAGGACTCAGGTGGCCCTCAATGCTAAGTCTGAGGGGGACCTGCTACTCCTGAACACCTTGGGCCTCAGCTCCTTCGGTAAGTTCACTGACCTCAGGGTTAAGGAGCAGTTGAGGCTTGAGGCCTGCCAAAGGACTGTGGAGCAGCTCTGCAGCCTCAGCAACCAGGCCGCCATCGGGAGGGCCTCAGGAACATTGGTGCCTCCCGCTTGCCTGAGAAGAAGGAGGAGTTCTTTGTGCCTGAGGACACAGACCAGCCTGAGCAGGACGAGGGTTTCGCCACGCTTCCCCTGAGGGCTGAGGAGAAAGCCTCAGGATCTACATCTGCACCTGGACCCTCAGAGGTCGATGTGAGCATGATCCTGAGCAGGTACTCAGCTGAGGAGATCGCTAAGCTTCAGCTCTGCTTCCTCCAGTAAGAGGCCCTGAGCTGACTTGGTGGCTCCTAAGTTTTGCCTCATCGGCACCTTACAGCAGCCTAAGAATCGGGCCACCTTACAGAATCGGGCCTGGCTCGATCCTTAGGCACACGAAGAAGAGCTCAGTGCAAAAAGGAGTGTTCTCCACCTGAGTTCGCATGCATCGACTGCTGCACCTCACTGCTTGTCTGAGCAGATCCTGACTGCCTGGCCCCTGAGATCATGTCTCAGCTTCGAGACCTCACCGGCTCAGTGGACTTTGCGCCCGAGCAGCAGTGCTTCTTGAGTGTTTTTTTGCCTTTTTCAGGTGTTCTCTTAGTTCTGCACCATCCAAGGCCTCAGCCTACTTCATCGTGCTGAGCATCCTCATCCTGCAGTTCCTGAGGAAGCTTCTCAACACCCTAAGCTATGTCTCTGAGCAGCTTAAGGCAAGCACTGAGAGCCTCAGCTATCTCGGCAGCCTTGAGGGGTACGCCGAATCTCCGGCGCCAGCTGAGTTCACGCACGGGGTTCTGAGCTAATTAATTAATTAATTAATTAATTAATTAACTAATTAATTAATTAATTAATTAATTAATTAATTAACTAATTAATTAATTAATTAATTAATTAATTGACTAATTAATTAAGTAATTAATTAATGAATTAATGAATTAATGAATTCATGAATTAATTAATTAATTAATTAAGGCGACCCTAATTAATTAATTAATTAAGCCCCCCCTGTGCTTCCCTAATGAAGTCTTTTTGCCCTCTGGCTGAGTGGGGTTTCTGAGCGACTCTCC